GAGGGGGTCCCCATCCCACCTTCCCGATGGCTCTCCGCACCCTCACCCCTTCTTCTCCACTCCCCCCCTCCCCAGCATGGAAGTGGGGGTCTGCGCCGAGGCGTACGGCCAGGAGATGTCCATCAGCCGAAGGCACATCAACAGCGCCTTCATGACCTTCGTGGTGCTGGACCAGGAGGGCCGGCCCCGCACCCTGCCGATGGTGGCACCCGAGCCGGGGGTAAGGACGGGCAGGGCTGGCTTCTCCCCGCTGCGGGGGCGTGGGACCCCCGGGAATCCTGCTTAGCCCTGAAAGGCTCTCGGATTCAGAGCAAAACAAATGCAATTTGATGATGATGAAATGAAATTGCTAGATAGCAAGTGAATTAAATTGATTGCTCGGTATAACTAATAATAAAATAAACCACTTGCCCGTGTAGAGATGGAGACTTATTAGCCATGCAAGACTCAACAGAATAGTGCCTGCAAGCTTGAGCTCATCTTTTCTGTAATTTAGGGGAAAGAATGCAAACCTCTTAGGTTGTTTTCACCTTTTAAAGCATCCTAATCCATAATTTGCTCGGATCCAAATATTTAAGAAAATCTATCACGTGAGCATGGCAGCGAAGCAAACGCCTGCACGTCTCGGGGTACACGGTAGCGCGAGCGAGCGATGGCGTCGCCTTCCCCTTGGCTGGTCCGTGCCCACCTACCTGATTTTTTTGATGCCTTAAAACTAGGACTCTTCTCCTACCCTGCCGGAGAGCATCTCATGGCAAGAGCTGGGCTCCCTGAAAACCTTCTCTCCGCCTACTTTAAAATACCACGCTAGTGATTTCTTCGAAATGAGCTGCTTTTTTTTTTGGGTTGTTATTTCCCTGGGAGCGGACATTTGCACGTGCTAGGGGACGTGATTTGTGTTTCAGTGGCTGTTTGCAGCCCTGCAGCTACAGCAAGGGTTTTTTTCCTAATGTGCCAGTGCCTGGCGCTTGATCACAGCGTGGTGGCAATGCCAATATAGGTCACGGTTAATCACCAGTCACCCCTGCCAGCATAGCTGGGGTGGCAGCCGGCTAGTGCAAGGGTTTTTCACTGCTGAACGTTTTGCCCACCCCCCAAAAAAATCTATTTGTTTTGGTTTTTCCCCCCCTCCTTTTCCTATTAACCTAATGTACTTTTCCCGTTTATCAGGATGGAGAGAGGAGGTACAGAGAAGCCAGCGCTAGGAAAAAAATTCGGCTGGACCGGTGAGCAGAAAAAGCAAGTGGGATGCAGGGATGGAGAAGGGAGGAGGGAGAGGCTCAGCACTGGGGTACAGGGACAGTCTGTGGGTGCTTTGTGTCCCACAATAAGGGAAACTGTTCCTTTCCTGCAGAAAATACATCGTCTCCTGCAAACAGACCGAGGTGCCGCTCTCCGTGCCCTGGGACCAAAGCAACAAGGTAGGGTGCTGCCCCGCGGGAGTCGCTGCCTCCTGCCCCCCTTCCTGCCCCTGACCTGCTGCCCCTGCCCCAGGTTTATCTGAGCTACAACAACGTCTCTGCGCTGAAGATGCTCGTAGCCAAAGCGAACTGGGTACTCGCCAGAGAAAAGGAAAAGGTACTAAACCCTGCCCTTTCCCACCAAGCTGCTTCTTGATCCCCAAAGCGTGGGCAACCCGGGGGGGCTCGGTGGTGGCGAACGCGTCCCAGCCCGTGCCCTGTGCTCCCCAAGGTGCGGATGTACACGCTGGAGGAGGACAAGTTCCTCTCCTTCCGCATCGAGATGTCGGTCCACATTGCCGCCAGCCGAGCCTTCTCCCTGCTCTCCGACCTGCGGCGCCGGCACGAGTGGGACCGGCACTACGCGTGAGTGCTGCGGGGCTTCCTGAGGACACCCGGCCCTTTCCAAAAATCACATCCTGAAATTTAAGGCTTGTTGATGAACGTCCCTTTGGGCTTTCCTGGGAGCAAGTGTGTTGTCCCTGAGCCATGATCGCTGTTGGAGACCTTTCACCGCGCGTTCCCATCCCAGCTTCACCTGGGCTGATGCTGCAGAAAACATCTATTTTGGGTCCTCCAAAATATTTTGGGTGTGGTGGTGAGCTGTAAATGTGTAAGCCCCCAGACTTGCGGGCCACAGTGGGGTTTCTCTGACTGATCCCCTCCTTCCTTACAGGAGCGCAGAGCTCGTCCAGCAAGTAGATGACGATGACATGATCTACCACGTCGTGAGCCAGACGCTCAGCTGTGAGAACAAGCCACAGGACTTTGTCATCCTGGCATCCCGAGGGAAACCCTGCAGCAAGGGGTAACTGTCCCTGGCCCCCAACTCTCTGCTCCCCACCAGCCAGGCTGCGCCAGCTCACCAGGCTCTCTCCTCCCCAGGGACCCCTACGTGGTGGCCTTTCGGTCGGTGACACTGCCCACCCACCCCGCCAGCGCCAACTTCACGCGGGGGGAGACGCTTTGCTCTGGTTTCTGCATTTGGCCGGAGTCAGAAGACACGAGCAAGGTGGGATGCTGTTGCCATGCCATGGGGCCGTGCCGCCCGCACCCCATCAGGGAGGCTCCCCGCTCCGCACATGCCCCTACTAACCATCTCCTGCGCCTCGCAGGTGGCTTACTACAACCAGGCTACGCCGGGGTACCTCAACTACGTCACCACCAACGTGGCGGGACTGTCCTCCAACTTCTGTGCCACCTTTGAAGCCTGTGAGAAGTTCCTGCT